GTATATATATTATTTAATAAGGTTTATGTCTTTTTCAGTCATTTTATATCTAAACTATTTTATTTTATCGTAATAATTTTGAGTTTTTTTTAAACTATTATCATATTAAAAACATAAACTATCAATAACTACTATTCAATAAAATTCATGCCCTTTTCATTATGTTATAACTAAACTCACTTTTTTATTAATTATCAAAATAACTTTCAACTTTTTTAACTGACTTTTTAAAAACACCAATCCAAACATACCCTAACTGACTTTACTCTAACTTTAGTTACAAAAGTCAGTTAGGCTAAAAGTTAGTTTTGTCCAATGCCAATCCAAACATACCCTAATATGTTTTCACCCCTAACCACGCCTGTCTAAGTTATTAAATTCAAGTAACCTAGTCCCAATTTTATGTCACTACTAATATGTTTCATTACAATAAGAAAACATTAAACATCATTAATTACATCTTAATAAATAATAACTTTTCAATTTCACTATCATTTAGGGTGTGTTTGGTATGAGGGATTTGGGAAGGAGGGAAGGAGGGGAGGGAAGGGGAGAGATTTTAATCATTTTCTCTTGTTTGGCAATACACAATTTTAAGAGGGGAGGGAAAATTTTTTAAAATTTTTCCTCCCCTCCAAAATTGGGAGGATTTGGAGACAAAGGGTAATATTTTACCACCTTGTGACCATTATACCCATATTTTATCATATTGTGACCATTATGTCTATATTTTGTCATATTTGATCATTATGCCCATATCTTAAATAAAATAAGAGTAAAATTGTCCATATTAAATATTTTTCCCCTTCTCTTTTTTTATAAATCCAAACAAGATAATATTAAAATCCCTCTACTCTTCTCTCCATTAAAATCCCTTCCCTCCCTTTCCCTCCCCTTCCTCTTATTGAGCCAAACATACTCTTAATATATATTATGCCTTGTAAGAATATAATCCGCACAATAAAAAATAAAAAATAAAATTATTTAGTTATATAAAAATTCTCCCTCAGCAAATAAGATAAGAGGAGCAAAAATGTCCCATCTTTTCTCCAGTTTCTATTTACTTGCGTGCAACGTATGGGATATTATATAAAATAATAAAAAATCTGGTTCTATTTTGACGGTGGCCGGTGGGTGAGGAAAAAGCTACAGGATGGTCAAAGAAGTGCGGAAGGCTATTGAAGTGCTCTAGCCACGATGATGTAACCGCCAACGTAATTCCAGGTGCTACGAAATCCCGTCCAGGTTCAATGAACTTTGTAGACCACCATTTTAAGCTTCTATAAATAGAGGTGCCCTTTAATATTCGGTTCACAACACAAAACAGATAGTGGGATTAGCCATCTTCTTCTCATTCATTTCTCTGTATTCCAAATACATTCCCTTCTCATTTTCTCCGTTATATCAGAATCAACATTGTCCATGGGAGAAGTAGACGCAGCCTTCATCCAAGAACCTCACCACAGACCCCACCCGTCTCTCGCACAAGAGGCCCAAGGCATCCCTCTCATTGATCTCTCTTCCCCCGACGTCGACGCCCTCATCGACGACATTGGCCACGCCTGCAAGCAATGGGGCTTCTTCCAGATCATCAACCACGGTGTTCCATCGGAGCGCCGACTGAGGCTGGAGGCGGCGGCACGGAAGTTCTTCCATCTGAGCTCCAACGAGAAGAGGAAGGTGAGGAGAGACGCCAGGAAGGTGTTAGGGTATTACGACACAGAACACACCAAGAACGTCAGAGATTGGAAGGAGGTGTTCGATTACACAGTGCAAGAACCCACTCTCGCCGCCGCCTCCATTGATCCAGATGATGATCGAGTGGCTCACTGGGAGAATCAATGGCCTCAAAATCCTCCGGAAATGAGGTAAATTAATTACACATAACACTATATATTATATATATATATATATATATATATAGGTTTAGGAGCCCATTGCCCCTGTGAACCTCGCTCCCAAATGTTCTTTTCCTTTTCATAATTGGATTTTATATAAAAGAATTTTTAAAAAATTATGGTAAAAGTGCATCACTTTTTTTTTTTGCGGTGTAATCAGCACTTTGATTTTTTTTTTTATACATATAACACTCTAATCTTATACTACCTCCTCTTCTTAATATATAATATAAGACCCCGTTTGACTTTTTGTTTGGTCCTAATTATAAGACTCCAATCCATGTTGTCTCTCATATTTATATATTTTTTTTCAAAATAGTCCTTTCATGATAATTTTAGTCATACTTAATTAGTAAGGATATTTTAGGAATGACAACACTTATTTATTACAAATAACTAACTTAACTTACTTTCTTAATCTTCTCAAATTAGTCAACTGGGTCTTATAATTAGGACCGGAAGTAATATTATTTTTGGTGCATCTAATACTCTGAAAATTAAGATTGCTGATGTAACTAAAAAATAATTTTAGAGTGTTGAGTATACTTAAAAAACCGAGAGTGCTGAATGTATCATATCGAAAACCCAAGTTGGTACTCTTGAAAATACGATTAGGGCGCTATTTACCTAAAAATTTAAATTATAAAATAGGGTATAATTTAAAATTTTTTTTTTCTTTGAAAATCGTAGGGGGAAAAAACTCAAAACTGCATAATGAATTTTTTTTTTTTTTTTTAATGATGTGAACCATGCAGGGAGGCGTGTCAAGAATATGCGAAAGACATGGTGGAACTAGCCAGTAGATTGATGGAGCTAATCTCTATGAGCTTAGGCTTACCACCGCGGAGGTTCGAAGATTTCTTCAAGGACCATACTAGCTCCACCAGAATCAACCGCTATCCGCCATGTCCATCCCCTGAGCTTGCTCTCGGGGTGGGCCCACACAAAGACCCTGGAGTCTTAACCATCCTTGCCCAGGACGAAGTAGGCGGCCTCGAGGTGAAGCGAAAATCCGATGGCCAATGGGTTGGGGTCAAACCAATACCCAACACTTACATCATCAATTTGGGCGATGTTCTTCAAGTGTGGACGAATGGACAATATCAGAGCGTAGATCACAGAGTTATGGTGAATTCGGCGAAGGAGAGATTCTCAATACCGTTCTTTCTAAATCCTTCGCATTACACAACGGTGGAGCCATTGGAAGAACTAACTAACGACCAAAACCCAGCCAAGTACAAGTCTTATAACTGGGGCAAGTTTGCACTGACCAGGAAGCGCAGTAACTTCACGAAGCTGCCGGTTGAAAATATCCAGATTCACCATTTCCAGAACATTCCGACCCATAGTTATTTACGAGATTGCCCTAGAATTTTTGGATGAGGATGAAATAAGGGCGGTGGTCACTTGATGATGATGAATGCAGTTCTTTTGTCTTTTGTGTTTTTTTTCAAAACTAGGTCCCATGTGATATGATTAAATAAATATATTTATCGGCGGAGCAATTTTGTTTTTAAATGTGGGTGAATAGTAAAATGGCTGATCTGTGTGCTGTGAGCTTTTGGATCATTTGAACCGACTGGATTATAGAATGCTGAGAAAATGGCGGCTCAATGAAACCAGCCCAAATATTTTTTTAACAAAGTCAAGAGAGCAAAAGGGATAATTTTTTATTGCGAATAAATAGAAAAATCAACCCGAGTAATATATGTGAGAGATGCATACTTGCAGGCCAAATATGTATTCTTTTATCTTGTTTCCTTTTTTATATTTTTCTTTATAGGTCCCATGTGATATAATTAAATAAATATATTTACGGGTGGAGCAATTTTGTTTTATGGTTGAAGAAAAATTCCTATAATTAAAACTATAGGAATTAAGTTATCAAAATTACGGAGACTAAGTTTCATTGAGTTAAATTTAAAAACTGAATTGCAATGGAAACCCAAAAAACAAAATTAAATTTGCGTGATAAAATTGTAAATAACATCTTCATGGATAGTTGCAAAACCCAAGAAATTCAAGTTTGGATTGTGGCAGTGGCCCATACTAATTAACCCGATGAAGAAAAATTCAACCTTGTCCCCAAACTTAGTTGTGACCCACATGTATAATCCGTTGAGGTTCTGATTATTATTAATCCTTAATATAGACCCTTTTTGACTTTTTATTTGTTTTTAATTATAAGACCCCAATCTATTTTTTCTCATATTTATGCATTTTTTCAAGATAGTCCTTCTAATAATAATAGTTTTAACCAATACACTTAATTAGCAAGGATATTTTAGGAATGACAACACTTATTTATTACAAATAACTTAACTTACTTCCTTAATCTCCTCAAATAAGTCAATTGGGTTTTATAATTAGGACCGGAGGTATAACATTTTCTTCGCAAGTCAAAAGGATAAAGATGTCAAATACAATTAAAAAAAAAGTGAGAAAATAAAACCGACTAAGATGCGAGAGAGGAGAAATACGTGCATACATCCAGTGCCTTACATCATTCATGCTCTGACCAGTAAAAATATGCCACATCACCAATATTAGTCTTTTTTTTTTTTTTGATAAAGAGAGAACAACTAGAGACATCAAATAGAAACTAAAAAGCTATCGTCAGGTGCACAAAATGAAGACCCAGGGCCTTCGACAGCGCGCCCTTTGCAAGGAAATCTGCCACCTTCACGAGTTCTCTTGGTGTATATTCCAGATCCACCAGCCAGTCACGCTGCAAAATTCTGTGACATTCCGATATAAGTTGCCAGTGTTCATGTAGACCATTCTCACCATAAAGAATAAGCTTCACAGCCTCACAGCAATCAGAGCGAAGAATAACCTTCCTATATCTGCCATCCCAAGCACGTCGCAAACCAACGAGACACGCCTAAAGCTCTACAAAGAGAGGATCTCCCTCCCCCAAGTGCAACATGAAAGCTTCTAAAACGATCCCATTATCATCTCTAATGACACCTCCTGCTCCAACTTTTCTAGATGTTGCTGCAAAGGCCCCATCCACAAGGACCTTGATCCTGCCTACAAACGATCTGTATTAAATCCTTCTAGATTCCCGCTAGTGCCACGAAGAGACGTATGCTGATGTTTAAGGAGAGCCTGTATGAAATTATTCAAGGTGGTGCTGGCCTGAAAAGTTAACCATTGTAGGTTCCCATCCTTCTGTTGGAAAACCCACTCATTTCTGCGTTTCCATAAGAGCCAGAAATATATCCCAAAGCATTCTCTCCAATCACTCTTAATCGAACCAACCTTAACTTTGAAATTCATGGAGCACCAGTCCCAGAGGTTCTTGCTAAAGAAAGCACGCTACATGGAAGGCTTGATCATAGAAGCCCATAACGTGTGGACATCTGGACAGTCACGTAGGACATGAATCATCGTCTCTTCAGCCTGTTGGCATCTTTTGCAGAGCCCATTAGTGTTCAGTGATAAAACTCAATTTTCATATATTTTATCTTATATTAATTCAAGATTTAAATGATAATTTTGAATTTAATTGGATTTTTATGCGTAATTGGATAAATTGGTTGATTTTTGGATTTTGCATAAAAATTAAGATTTTGGATTAAAAATATAAATATTTTGTGATTTTCTATTTTTGATTTGGAATTAATTTTTTCTATTTCTTTGAAAACAAATCTCATATTTTTAGAAAGATTATTTTTAGAAAGTTTTATAATTTCTTGCCTAATTTTTGTGCATATTTAATATTTAATTTTTGATTATGTTTGGATATAATCTATATTAATGGATGCATTTAAATTCTTGTAGGTCAAGAAAGAGCATATAGGAAATCCAATGGTGCAAGATTGTTTCTTGGAATTTAAGCACAATCTAATGACTAATATCAAGTGGGTCAATTAATTACTAATAGGCTTGAGCTTTGGGTCCAAAGAAAATTTCCTTTTCTCCCATTAAAATATGCCTCTCATTCCATAGTCGAAAAAAGACGCTCACTCTCTCGCCATAGACGCAATCAAGAAAAGCTCTCTCTCAACGGTCTTCATCTTCAACGCCTACTCCATCGCCCACTCATCAAATATCCATTATTCCCATCCCTCCAATCACGCCAATTGTTCTTAATCATCCACCCAACGTCATTTTTTTACTCATTACGTTACTTGTCCATGAGTTGCACTAAGGAGCTTGGAGAAGGAGACATGTTGATGGCAGCTCAAGCTTGTTAGGGAGGCAATTTGGGAGGAGCATGGAGGAGACTTGAGCCTTGGGCTAGCACTTGAAGACCATAAGGGAGTGATGTTCCATTTATCTTTTTTAATTCAAAGACTTGAAATTATTTAGTTTTAAATAATTTTAAGTTGTAATTTTGTGAAACAATTTAGTTCTAAATTATCATTTTTATTCTTGGATTGGATTGATATTTGGATCTTATTTGTGTCGAGATACTTGTTGGAATTTATGTTTAGAACCTTTGCATTGTTAATTGAATTTATAAGTGAGTTTTCATTATGAGTTTAATTATCAATGTGGTTTGAATTGCAAAATTTGGGTTCTTTTGCCTCTTAATTGTTTAATTAAGTTGGTTAATTGTCTAATTTTTTAATTAGATAATTTTAAACATAATTTTTAAAATTAATTTGAGTTATTTTCATTGGTTTTAATAAGCTTAATTAACTAACCTTATACTGTTATGAGTTTTCTAATAGTTTAAGGATTTTTGAAATTGAGGGTTCCCTTTGTTTCAAGTAGGTAATTAAATTTATTAATTCCGCTCTTTTATCACCTCCTTTTGGTCTAATTAACTGATTAAGGTTATGAAAGTTAAATCCATACGAATCATAAGTTGTCCCCTCTATCTTACCGAAGAGAACTTCTCAATTTTTATTTGTTAATTTTCTTTGCTTTCTAGTTAATTTTCTTTATTCATCATTTTTTATTTTCCTTCTTAAAAAAATCCCCCGAAATATTACACTGCATTCATTTAATTTAATTTAATTTTCATATAGATTTTAGGATATTTGCATCTTGCATTTAGGATTAGAATTTTGCATTTCAGTTTAGGTCCAATTTATTACATTTTTTTATCACCTAAATTTTTACCTAAAGAAACCTATAACTTGTTCATTGGAAGTAATGACTTAGGTCAATTGTAAACTACAAATTAATTAGGACCTAGTTTAATTGAGTGCTTTAACGACAAAAAGCATCGTCACTCAGTCCTCGACAAACACGCTCACTATTAGTAAGAAGTTTATTATGAAGAGCGAGCCAAAGAAAGGTCTTACATCTTTGAGGCGTCTTCATCTTCCATATCAAGTTCCAGATGGAATTCTCGGTGGGAGCATTTTCATTAAGTAGATTGCAGGCGGATTTAATAGAAAATCAAGGACCAAAGCATGCTCAGTTAATACCACATGATAGGCTCTTCTTAAAGATAAATAGAAGGGGAAATCGCAAAAAACAAGACCGTTGAAATAGAAAAATTATACATAGAGACTCATTTATAAAAATTATCGTCAAAACTCATACTATTGTTGTCAAAACTCATACTAATATTGTCACAAATTCCTATTTACAATTTTTCTATTTTGGAGGTCTTTTTATGATTTTCTCTAAATAAAGTGAATTTTTAAATAAAAAACAATTGAAATCTCATGTTACAAATTTATTTAAAATTTTCTGATTTCAAGGAATCTTCAATGTGGGCAGTTTTTTTTAAATATATGGTAGTTATTAAATTATAAAATTATACTCCTTCAGTTCTTAATGTAGGACCTAAGTAGAAGATTTGTTTTAGTCCTAAATATATGACCTATTTTTCATATTTACTAGTAATTTTTTCTAAATTACTCTATTAAATAATTAAATACCACAATAATACTTATTACTCATTAATAATACACCTATATATTTTATAAATTGAGTGAGTATTTATTACTCATTAATTCCACACATACATCAATCCTACCATTTTATATTTTTAATAAAATAATTTAAAATATTTTAAAAAAAATATTTTCATTTCAAAGTGACTGGACATTTTACGTCTGAAGAATAGCATGATAAAATATTCATCATATTATATATTTTCTTTGTGGCTAGAAAAACATATTCTTCTCAAGGAGCAAGGCCGACAACTGGGATAGCATGTGAGCCAAGAGAGGTTGGAAGACCTTAGAATCAAGCCTCGGAGGCAAGTTAACCATATATTTTAGAAAACATATGTCATATTTATGATTATTACCTAACTTAACTAATTTTCTTAATTTAATCAAAGTAGTTAAATAAATTTTATATTAAGGACCGAATGAGTATATTTTAAGCATGCTTAGTTAATGAGGCTCCCCTCAAAGATAAATAGAATGAAAAACATTTTAAATGAAAAAGAAAAATGAATAAATTATTATATAAAAGCAGAGACTAAAAGCATGCTTATATCATGCTACATGGCATGACACGCTGTACTTAGAGATAAATAGGCTGCTTTTTTAAATGCAAAACTAAATTGAATAAAATGAAAATGAGTGTAGTTTTTGAAGTTATTCTGTATTTTTAGGATTTGTTATGGGCAGGTTTGTTGATTCTGACTACAA